ACTCACTTTACAAGTACAGTATATGATTTTATTATATGTTGTTCACACTAAAGATGTGATAACTTGTTCTTACTCACTTTACAAGTACAGTATATGATTTTATTATATGTTGTTCACACTAAAGATGTGATAACTTGTTCTTACTCACTTTACAAGTACAGTATATGATTTTATTATATATTGTTCATATCAAAGAAAGGAAACTGAATTAAAGAGCAATTTTGCATAATTTAAACATATTCCGAAGACAAAAACATTTACAATATAGATATTTAAACCACTTAACTACATATTCAATTATGAAAATAGCTGGAATTGTTAGAGCCGATACGGAAATGCCAAGTTTATGTAAAGCAAATTAATTATGCTGAAACTATATAAAATATATTAAAACTACACATATTTTGGAGGTCACGACATGGTCCTACAAGACATGAAAGTTATCTTTGAACAGGTAAATGTACTTATACGTACAGACGTAATGTTTCTTGATATGTAGGAATAGATACAAAATACTACACACCTGATCAGATGGTGACAGAATCAAAGTAAAACAGAAACTAAAACCATTTGTTTTGAAATATATTTAACTAAGGAATTTGTTACTGAAGCCAAAACTTTCTTTTAATTAGTGAAAAACGTAATATAACTTAATTAGGGTAAAGTTAAACCATACAGTTTGATTGGATAAGATTATAAATCACACAACCTGATTGGATAAAATAATAAACCACACAATCTAATTGGGTAAGATTATAAACCACACAATCTAATTGGGTAAGATTATAAACCACACAACCTGATTGGGTAAGATCATAAGCCACACAACTGATTGGATAAGGCTATAGAAATAAATGTTTCAGCTAGATAAACTTTAAAAACATTTGATTAGTAGTGACTGAAGTGTTATTACAAATAGTTCAACCAATTCAATGATGGTTCTAATAGAACATAGTTACTATTAACAATAAAACATTCTGTGATCTTTATACAGAGCACTGTATACTCGCTATTAGTCCAACTACTTATCCTAGAAAGCTGAATTACCCCAACAACATAAAAAACTTGAGTTGCCATAGCAACAGTGGAAAATTCAATTATCTCTTCATACAATGTAGTGAGGCTAAATAATGATGTTTTGTATAAAATTAACCAACACCTGATTTAGGCCTATGGCCAAAAGTAATTATATTTCATAAAACCTTTAATAAAATCTCAATCTTGCTAATGAAGCGTTGTTACTGTAACCATAATTAAGTCTACAAATAACACTTAAAATTACATTGCACCACCTTTTGGCCTTAAGATTGTTAGATAGCCACATGCCAAGTAAAAACACTCCCTGGCAATGTTACAGATAGTTGTTGTTAATTTTACTCCCTCAAAAATTACAACAAAAATTCAATGAGAAAGGTTTCTGAGGCTTACCTTGGTAAGGCAGAACCGTCCACAGCATTATCTCGAAACGTTTGGGCGTACTGAGGCAGATCTACATACGCCACTAGCCACTGCACCGTTTCTTCTACCGTCCAGTTGTGTACTACAGAAAACAAAGATTGGAGTTTTATTGCATGATGATTTCTCATCTTCATGTGAAAAAAAACAAGCATTTTATTTTTAAGTTATGAATCTACCATAGAAATGTTTGAAGCATACAAATCCTTAAATTTTTAATTTGATCCAAACACACTGTAGGAATGAAAAATATTAAAAGTTTGAAGTAACAGCTTTTCAACTCACCGTTAAGATCTCTAGCTATATAAGTTGTATAATTTTTAACACCATAAGATCTCTAGCTATATATGCTCTATGATTTCTAACATCTATAAGATCTCTAGCTATATATGCTCTATCATTTCTAACATCTATAAGATCTCTAGCTATATATGCTCTATCATTTCTAACATCTTTAAGATCTCTAGCTATATATGCTCTATCATTTCTAACATCTTCAAGATCTCTAGCTATATATGCTCTATCATTTCTAACACCTTTAAGATTTCTAGCTATATATGCTCTATCATTTCTAACACCTTTAAGATTTCTAGCTATATATGCTCTATCATTTCTAACACCTTTAAGATTTCTAGCTATATATGCTCTATCATTTCTAACACCTTTAAGATTTCTAGCTATATATGCTCTATCATTTCTAACATCTATAAGATTTCTAGCTATATATGCTCTATCATTTCTAACATCTATAAGATCTCTAGCTATATATGCTCTATCATTTCTAACGTCTATAAGATTTCTAGCTATATATGCTCTATCATTTCTAACACCTTTAAGATTTCTAGCTATATATGCTCTATCATTTCTAATACCTTTAAGATCTCTAGCTATATATGCTGTATCATTTCTAACATCTATAAGATCTCTAGCTATATATGCTCTATCATTTCTAACGCCTTTAAGATTTCTAGCTATATATGCTGTATTATTTCTAACTAGAATAACAAGAGCCAAGTATCATTTGTGGCTAGAGTAATGAGAGCTGACACTATTGTCTAACCTACTCAGTTTACATTGAAAGTCTCAAGAGCAACATACAAAGATTTAGTCTGAAAAAGGAAAGGTATTGTTCAATACATTAATACAGTTACAACAGATAAATTTTCTCACCTATTAGAATAACCAGTTCTCAGGTGTTTTCCGAAGTAATACAATGTTGAAGAAAGTGGATATTACTCTTAAACTCCAGCCTTTCATTGATTATGATGTAATGGCTGTATTCAGTAAGGTGATGTCATTTGCAGTTAAGTTTATAAACATCAAGTGAAAGGACTATTTCTTTTACCAAATGTATCAAAGAAACGGGATGGATAATATTTAAATATGTTACAGACACCTACATCTTACCTTCAGACACCTTCCATGATCTCCACAACTCATCAACACTAATGTGTTTATCACTACCATGAAATACTTTCTGTCGTTCATAACCACTTTCATATTGGAGTTCATCTCGCAAGAACTGGAAGCAGGCAAAACAAAATAATGTCAATAAAAGCAGTAGACATTTTTACATCTTGGTAACCATGGAAGAACAGAAACATGACTTTAAACTTTCATGTTTAATGGACTGAATTATAGAAGTACAAGGTGCTGACGAGGCCCCTCCAGAGGCTAGTCAGAGTGCTGGCCTAAAACTTGTGCATTAAATCGGTGAAAATAATTCAGTTTTTACAGAAACAGATAATTTAATGAAACAAACAATGATATCTGTACTTACTGTTCAGCACAAACTTGCTATAGACAAAAATATTACTATTTCAAGAGTACACTAAACTCAATCCTAACATTTGGTGGCATGGTTAGACAGAAATCATTAGGTAAACTCTTCACACTTCCTTCTCGGGCCCAGTATACAGTGGTTTTGTTTCTATCACCTAGTTCCACAAAACAATAGTTCTCGATAAAGTTCCCACTGATAAGTGTTCCAAGGACAAAGATGTACTGATAATATCCTGCACTATACATGTTTACATTTTGTGCTAAAAAACGTACAGTTGGAAACTGAGTTAACAGAAAAAACAATGGCTGGACAAAATATTTAAATACAAGTTTTTGGAGGATTCAGGGTTCTTAAAACAAGCTTTATTTGGATGAATTTCTCTGCCTATAGGGACCAACTTCATTCTTCATGCAGTGTTGTATCACAACTCAGTACAGTAATGGTTTCATATTGTAACAATGTTTACTGAAGCCATGCTTGATGTTGTACTACCCTTGGAACTACTGCTGGTTAGTGTAACAATGTTACTGAAGCCATGCTTGATGTTATAACAATGTTACTGAAGCCATGCTTGATGTTTACACACACTCAAGTATCTTCCTCATTTGCAAATTAAGTGAAACTAGGCACATCAGCTGGAACAGTTCAAGAATGATAAACAAGGATTTCAAGTTTACAAAGTCCCACCAGTCAAAAGTCCACAAATTTCTAGCCATACCTCAAAATGAGAATTTGTTTTAATGAGAAAGAAATTGGAATAACAGTCATTCCAGTTTAAATTGTGTAGTCTAAAATGTACCTCAGTGGCCATCACAGAAGCTTGTTAAACAAACAGTGGATATTGTAGTGTCAGGTGGTAGGAAGAAGTTGTTCCAAGGATAATGTGACATCTGTAACATTGTTCTTATACAATAAACATTGTTACACTAACCAGCAGTAGTTCCAAGGGTAGTACAACATCAAGTATGGCTTCAGTAACAAACATTGTTACATCAAGTATGGCTTCAGTAACAAACATTGTTACAACATCAAGCATGGCTTCAGTAACAAACATTGTTACAACATCAAGCATGGCTTCAGTAACATTATTACAGCATCGAGCATGGCTTCAATAACATTGTTGGACATCAAACATGGCTTCAGTAACATTGTTAAAATATCAAGCATGGCTTCGGTAACAAACATTGTTACGTAACAGGCTCCAAAACCACCATCATGTGTATCACGAGTTGTGTGGTTTTGGAGCCTGTTACCGATACACATGAAGGTGTGAGTTTTTAAACTTCAACATAAAACACTTGAGATTCCTCACAGCATAACTTTGTGTCTGTTGATTTAAAACTTTAATATAGGAATATCTGTGACATACTTTCCACCCAGAAACCTAACATTAGTAGTATAACACTATACAATGGTCAGGAAATCAACAATGCTTGGTACTGTAGCAATAGTATAACACTATACAATGGTCAGGAAATCAACAATGCTTGGTACTGTAGCAATATTTAATACTGTAACACTGCTTGATAGTGTAACATTGCTTGATTCTGTAACAATGTTTGATACTGTAGCAATGCTTGGTACTGTAACACTGACTGATTCTGTAACAATGTTTGATACTGTAGCAATGTTTAATACTGTAAGACTACTTGTTATTGTAGCAATGTGTAATACTGTGAGACTGCTTGTTATTGTAGCAATGTTTAATACTGTGAGGCTGCTTGTTAGTTTGTGAGACTGCTTGTTACTGTAGCAATGTTTAATACTGTGAGACTGCTTGTTATTGTAGCAATGTTTAATACTGTGAGATTGCTTGTTATTGTAGCAATGTTTAATACTGTGAGACTACTTGTTATTGTAGCAATGTTTAATACTGTAAAATTGCTTGTTAATGTAGCAATGTTTAATACTGTGAGGCTGCTTGTTA